TCAGATAGTGAACATTTAGAGAGCAGAAACTAGATTTATCAATTCTGTTTTTCCCACATTTTTCTGCTTTTTGTTGAAAGGAGAGAATGGAAAGGAAAGAAGGGGGAAATTCTAGTCTAAAAGTTATGTGCTGATTCATAAATTTTAAATTACCCATGGCACTGCACTGAGATATTTGTACATGTTTCTGGCTCACTTGGAAGAGAAGTTCCTTCCGTCTGAGAAGCTACTTCTGTGGAATGTGAGTGAAATTGAGGAAAGCCAAGAAAGGAATGTGAAGGAGAGAGTTTTGCCTTATTGGATTTTCTTAGCTAATCTAATGTTCAGGAACCAGGAAGTTATATTTGTTTTAAACTACAGTGTCCTCTTACATTCTGAAGTAACAATATTGACAGGCAATCTAAATCTGTGTGCACGATTCAAAACTGTTTACATGGAAATTTTCATAATTCAATAGTAATAACTCTGGGTTATTAGGCCATTTGAATAATTTTTATACTGGCAAATTTCCTTCTGTTGTGAGCTGGGTCTGTTTTAGAAACTATACCAGAAACATACAGCATCCCATTTTGGATGTGGAAGAATAGCAGTTGATAAAGCACTGCCTCTTTGAAGACTGCCACACTGCATTGTGATTATTTCAGGACAGGAACTGTAGTGTTTCCCTCAGCCCTTTCCTACATCTTCATACTAACCTTTAAATTGTTCATTATGTTCTTGACATAAAGTAAGTTTCCTATGTCGTGACTTTCATTCAGTTCCTTGAATTATTTATGGCCTTCACTCCTTTACCACTCCTTTAACAGTCATTTATTTTTTGGGAAAAAAAAAAACAAAACATTTTATTTTCCCTTTTTTCTCCTTGGTCATTTGTTAACTAATTATAAGAAATAGATACATAAGGACGGTATTAAATAAGCACTTGTGGCTTTTATCTGGAGTTTAGGGGGTAGAGTCATGAGAAGAGATTTGGTGGCAATAGCACAGAGGTGACATTTAAAGCTGCACGTTATATCCTGTCTGGTATGATAACCAATCAGACATCTGCCCCACTCCCAGAAATTTCATTGTTCTATCTTTGTTTGCTTATTCAAACAACTAGGATCCAACTAAGTTAGCACCCAGATGTCCATAGGAAAAATTTGAATTCCACTGCACCCACGCCTATTATCTAATCCTAATAATGCACTCAGTGTTTATATGCATCTTAATAATAATGCCTTTGAATCCCCTTCCAAAAATATGAAAAGTGGTAAAAGAAGTAAATCAAGGATATAACCTGGTATCCTTGCACTTATATGGAATCCACCAATGATAATGAATAGTGGGGGGAAAGGAGAGAGGCAAGAGCACAAGAGGTCTTATCACAGAGGCCAAGTGAAGGCAGTTTCAGGGAGGGGTCAAGAGCAAATGCCTAACAGGGCTGTTTTTTTGTTATTGTTGTTTTCTGGTGGTACTGGGGATTGAACCTAGTGCTGTATACTGAGCTACAACCCCAGCCCTTTTTTTTTTTTTTCTTTTTTTAATTGTTCATTTGGAGACAGAGCCTTACTAAGTTGCCAAGATTGGTCTTGAACTTGTGATCCTCCTGTCTCAGGCCTCCTGAGTCAAGATTATTGGGATATACCATTGCATCCACTGACAGTGGCTGCCATAAGCAGTAAAGAGGTCCCTGGAAGTGCACATTCAGTCTGTTGGAACCTTGATATTCTGAGTGGCTGACCTGCTGTGGTGCACTGAACCCCACCAGCACTAGTTCTTATTGTTGAACAGCTTCTGCTCATATGAGCTTCCCTTGAAGGGAAGGACTGCTTCCTCAAATAGTCCTAGCATCAGATGTGTGGCCCATGCTCAAAAGAGAATATCAGGGTTTGGGAATGATTTAGAAGAGAGGAGGAAGCACTTCTAGAAGAATGGCACTATCAGAAAAGGGTGGAGAGTTAGGTTGGGATAGACTCTGAGTGATGAAAAGATGTTCAACTGGTAGAATCAAACTTATTGACTTGAACTGTGGTTCCTCTAGATGAGATTAGTGTTTAGTTAAATGGATTCATCACGGACTTAAGTAATATCTAGAGCTGTGAAATTAAACGTAATAGGGAAATTTTTATATAGCTTGCTCTTTTAACAGATGGAGGTGACATGCTGTAAGTTAATATTGCTCTTCTGTTTGGTTTTCTTGCCTTTTTTAAAAAAAACATATTTAATGATGCTGAGGCAGGTTTGCTGATATTTAGGAGACTTGCTAATAATTGTCAACATATGCTTGCTATTCCCGTCAACTCTAAGGTATAGGTTTTAAGATGTTGTACATCTATATCATAATATGACACACTGGGCAGAAATTTTAATTTTCAATTGGTAATAAATGAAAAGCATATATTTTTCTATATATTCTAGTCAGTGCCCAAAGGTTATGTTGCACCTCAAAGGGGTTGGACACTATAAATAAGGATAGGAAGAGGAAGGAAGAGGGAGGGGCACTAAATACAGGAAAGAAGGTCCTCATGACTGAAAAAAATCTGTTATTTAACTTAGTTGCCTGTTTCAAACCTCTTCAGTTTTTACAAGCTTAATTAAACTGTGCCTTTCCGTGTGTGCTCATCTATATTTTAAAATGAGGGTAGGGAGACATTAAGATGTCAGAAGACATTTTAAAGATGTAATGTGACTCTTGATATTTCTTCTAAATTGTAAAGAAACTTTTATATTTAAAATTAAGATTTTAGGCCAGGCACAGTGGTGTATGCCTCCTGCTGAGGCAGGAGGATTGCAAATTCAAAGCCAGCCTTAGCAATTTATGAGGCCCTGAGCAACTTAGTGAGATCCTGTCTTGAAAACAAAAACAAGTTAGGGGAGGACAAAAGGGCTGGGAATGTGGCTCAATGATGAGTGCCTCTGGGCTTAATCCCTGGTACCCCCAAAATAAATAAATTAGATTTTAAGAATTCATTAAGATATCAAAAGTGAATCAGACAGTTTGGCAAAGAAAATATTGATAATGATGATGGAACATTTTCAAGTGAATTTTGTGTATTGTGTTTTAGTGCGGCTTTTTGTTTCTTCCTACAATTAATTTAACTAAATTGTTAAATTCCAAAAACAGTCCTGCCATAAGCCATTTTTTAGAACAAATGAAATGTGGCAGGAATGAGTTTTGATCATGATGGGCTTGGTGTTTTGACTTCTTGAGGAATATACTGGGAATGGAAGAGGATTTCTGTAAGATTGTAAGAAATGCTGAAAGAATCTAACTTTTATAGGAATCTACTTAGACTTATTCCTCATGCTAGCAGATTCTTTTTTTTTTTTTTTTTGGAAGCTACTTTATTGAAATAATCAGGCTGTTTTGAGATGGACAGGTGTGTGCCTTTTGGCCTCATTGGTTGTTTTTCTTTTCATTTTGTGAGGAACACTTCTTGAGCCTTAGCTGTGACCATATATGCTGAGGGAAGCAACAGTTAGCACATTATTCCACTTAAAGGCTTGCAGTTGAAAGAGGAGTATGTAAAGTTCTGGAATGTAAAGGAAATCATAACAGATCTCATCTATAGACAGGTAGAAAGCCCAAGGCCAGGTTTAATTACGTAGCAGTACAAAACCATTATCCTTTTCATAAGAGGTGGGGAAGAGGAGTGTGAGTGAAAACAATGGGCATTTATCTGACCGGCTGCCCAGACCCAGCCTGCGCAAGCTCTGCATTCTGCAGGCAGCATGCATTTTTTGAAACACTCCTAAATGTTCCAGCTTTAAATAGCAACGAGTCTTCTAAAATGATGCTGCGTGCTGCAGGAGAAATGAAAGCGGCCGCCTTGGAGGCAGGAAGCCGACTAGCGAGATGCTTAATTATCGTGGAAGTAAGTGCTTGTTACTGTTGAGTGCAGCATGCAGTGAGCGGGGGTCCTCCTCTGTGTCAGAGTGTGATTTGTAGACAATGCCGCCCTGTCAGCTCAGTGCTGGTTCAGCAGCATCTTTCCAAACATGTATCTGGCAAGAATTTAAAGGCCACCTCTTGTGTAATTTGTGGAGTCTTGGAAAAGGATTCTCTGCCTTTCTTTTCAGGATGTACGCAACCATGCAGGATTTTGTAGTCAGAATCTGTGCCTCCTGCCTGACGTGTTCATGAGGAAGTTCGTTTTCCTGCCCGTCACCTGGAAGGATGCTGACAGTTCTCTGAAATCTGTTGGGGGATATGGAGAAGGCTGCCCAGAGCAGCATTTTGTTTCTGTCGTCGTCATAAATTAGTGCTGATGGGGTGGATTAGATTGTACTATTGAAGGAAATGCAGGCATTTTGTTAATTAGTGTGATACTTCCAGCTCTAAGAGTAGATGAAACTAAGGAGAGCTTGGGAAGAGGTCACAGTGAATGCTGGTTTCATTCTGCAATATTCCTCACTCATCTGGGTAAGTAATAAAGTAGGGGAAAATATAGAAGAATGCTAATGGATATAATGGCTCCTGGAAAACTCGTTTATTTTCTCTCTGCTGTATTTGCTCTTGCCAACTATGTTAAGCCTTTGTAAGGAAACAAGTATTGATTTTGAAATATGGAAGATGTTTAAAAGTGTGCATTATAGCATACTCAATAAAATGATTTTTCAGTTTTAGTTTTGTTAAAAACTGACTTTGCATTGCTCTAATTATGTGATTTGGTTGGTTAGGTCTCAAACTTCTGGTCAGTACAGTGGCTCATGATGCTGTACATTATTACAGGTCACTGGGGGCAAAAGTCTGTACTTGGGGTACTGTGATGCCCCAGAACAAGTTGTCATTTCCATCTCCAGTTTTATGAAATAGTATATTAAGCTATTTAAGTATATTAAATATATTTCAATTTAAATAAAGGATTATATTAAATGACCTTATACTCTCTTCTTTCCTTCAAATCTGATTTACTAAAAATATGGATCATGGAACTCTGAACCACAATTTCGGCAATTGCATTTTTATTTTAAAATGTGTTTATGAAATGCTTATTCAAATTCTCTCTCTTTTTCAGAGAAAGTATGGAATCATGGCAATCACAGAATCCCAGTAATAGAAGTTCCATTCAGTTTTTTCTGAAAGAAAGCCATCTAGTAAAGTGAAGGAAAGAAACTGTTGTGGATTACAGTGTTTTGAAGATCAGGATTTTCAGTGATTTGAAAATAAAGGATCATTTGGCCTTTTAAATGAAAAAGCTTAAGATCTCATGCAACCCTTGTATTTTCTGGAAACTGTTCTCCAAAAGGGAAGTGCACATTTAAAACACAGATATGATGGTCCTTTCTGTAGGGATTTAAGTCTCCTTGCTTTTACATCATGACCAGCTTGAAACGGTCACAGACAGAAAGGCCTGTGGCCACTGACAGGACCTCCGTTGTTGGCACAGATGGCACCCCCAAAGTCCATACTGATGACTTCTACATGCGCCGTTTCCGGTCCCAAAATGGCAGCTTAGGATCATCAGTCATGGCCCCAGTAGGGCCTCCTCGAAGTGAAGGTTCTCACCATATAACCTCGACCCCCGGAGTTCCCAAAATGGGGGTTAGGGCAAGGATTGCAGATTGGCCTCCAAGAAAGGAAAACATAAAAGAATCTAGCCGTTCGAGCCAGGAAATAGAAACCTCAAGTTGCCTTGAGAGCATGTCCTCCAAAAGCAGTCCTGTGAGTCAGGGAAGTTCTGTTAGCCTCAGTTCCAATGACTCAGCCATGCTGAAGAGCATACAGAACACCCTGAAAAACAAGACCAGACCATCGGAGAACATGGACTCCAGATTTCTTATGCCTGAAGCCTATCCCAGCTCCCCTAGGAAAGCTCTCCGCAGAATACGGCAGCGGAGCAACAGTGATATCACCATAAGTGAACTGGATGTGGATAGCTTTGATGAATGTATCTCACCCACGTACAAGACTGGGCCATCTCTGCACAGGGAATATGGTAGCACATCTTCAATTGATAAGCAGGGAACATCTGGAGAAAGCTTTTTTGATCTGCTAAAGGGCTACAAAGATGACAAATCTGATCGAGGTCCAACTCCAACCAAGCTCAGTGACTTTATCGTTGCCGGTGGCAGCAAGGGTTCCGGTTTCTCTTTGGATGTTATCGATGGGCCCATCTCACAGAGAGAGAACCTCAGGCTTTTTAAGGATAGGGAAAAACCACTCAAGCGACGTTCCAAGTCTGAAACCGGAGACTCATCCATTTTTCGCAAATTGCGCAATGCCAAAGGTGAAGAACTTGGGAAATCGTCAGACCTAGAAGACAACCGATCAGAAGATTCTGTCAGGCCCTGGACATGTCCAAAGTGTTTTGCCCACTATGATGTCCAGAGTATATTATTTGATTTGAATGAGGCAATTATGAACAGGCACAATGTTATTAAAAGGAGAAATACCACCACAGGAGCTTCGGCAGCTGCCGTGGCATCCTTGGTCTCTGGACCTTTGTCCCATTCAGCCAGTTTCAGCTCCCCAATGGGCAGCACAGAGGACCTGAACTCCAAAGGAAGCCTCAGCATGGACCAGGGAGATGATAAAAGCAATGAACTTGTAATGAGCTGTCCGTATTTTCGGAATGAGATAGGTGGAGAAGGTGAAAGGAAAATCAGCCTGTCCAAATCAAACTCTGGATCCTTTAGTGGGTGTGAAAGTGCCTCCTTTGAGTCTACCCTTACCTCCCATTGCACAAATGCGGGAGTGGCAGTACTTGAAGTGCCCAAGGAAAATTTGGTGTTGCATCTAGACAGAGTGAAAAGATACATCGTGGAACATGTGGATCTTGGCGCATACTATTATAGGAAATTTTTCTACCAGAAGGGTGAGTAGAGATCCTTTTTCGTTTATTTTTAAATTTTCTTTTGTTGTCCTCTCTGGAAATAAGAGTATTACATATTAAATATTTTAGCAGTGTGACATAAGATTTGCATGAATTCTTATCTTTCTCAATGGTAAAATATTTAAATAGCTCATTGCAATTTTTTTTTGCATTTTTTGAGTTATTTTTTCTTTTGGGTATATAAAGATCTTATATATTAAATATTAATTTTTAAATTAAAACCTTTCACTTAATGAATAAAATTACAGTCTTTGTTGTGTAGAAGACTTTGTTATGTCACCTTTGGGCATAAATGTGTAAAGTTGAAAACATTTTAAATACCGCTTTTTTTCTTTAGGGATTGTAAAAACAATTTTACTGCTCCCTTTCATTTTTTAGCACTTTTGCAGTTAGTATAGAATTGTTTCTTTGCTGCCTCAATGTTTGTATTTGTAAATGGGAATTTTAATATATTCTTATCTGGAGGAACTTTAGTGATGAAGAATTAGATTATTTGACAAAAGCCACAGAGCCTATAAGTTCAGAGACATGAATCAAGTTAAATTCCTTTCTTGTCCTTTTCTTGGGGGAAGGATGTAAAAAGATACACACACACACACACACACGTATATATATACACACATACACATATGTGTGTGTGTATATGTATATATATATATATACACACACACATACATATTTGAGATTATACTTTACACAGTCTTACCTCCTACTTCTAAGAATGGAACTCTGATTTGTTGAAGAACAGTGTAATTCCTTAAGAGCTTTCTAATAGAATTTGTTGAATATCATTAAAATTGAGGGATAAGTTTTTGTCATCCAGGTCCCCAGACCAGGAACAGGTGATCCCCAAGGAATGATACACACCTGTGTCCACTAGCTGGCTATGCAGTCTCTGCAGTCAGGTGAGGAGACCTGTGGTAAGAGGCTGCTATCTGCACACTTATTATTTCCCACCTCCTGTTCTGGGGTTTTGGGGTTTTGAGTGTTATTTAGGTTTATTTTTCTGAAAGAAAATCTTTTTTTTTTCCCCCTCTGAGTCTTAAAATAAATTTTACTCCAAAATCATAAAGTTATCTGAAGATTGTTTACATGATGGACCCTATCAGGAAGGTTTATTGACAGGAAAAAAACCTTGTCTCATTACTAACTATCTATGTTGTGGATCCTGGAATCAGTTATAATGAAAATCTCAGTTTCACTTTCAAACTATATTTATTTTCTCAGAATAATTTTTCGGAGTTAAGATTTAGAAACTATGTGTTCCTTTCACTCTTAGAGGGCAGGATTAATCAAACTTGCCCTCTTGCCATTTGGGACCAGATGTTCTCTTTTGGGGTGAGGGATACCCTGTGCCTTATAGGATTTTAGCAGCATGCCAACAGATTTCTTCGATCCCTGCAGCTGTGACATCCAGGTAAAATTGCCTCTAGCTGACGACTCCTGCTTTACTATGCCTGAGACACTTTTTACAAGTATCTCTGAGCTGTTCTGATGGCTTTGAGGAGCCATCTTGCCTTCAGTGTAACTGATATTGACATTGTGATGAACATGAGAGAGAATGTATTAGTTTTATCTTATTTATATAGTAGTGGGCACTTTTTTTCCTACTAGCCAATAAAATAATAATAATAAACATTTTTGATAATTTATGTCCCAGACACTATGCTAAGCATTTGATATGACACACACTTTTTCATTTCAATCTCTTGATGTCCATGAGGTAGATACTATTGTTAATCCAATTTTCCAGATGAGAAAACTGGGGCCTAAGTGATAATGCTGTCATGGAACTAATAAATATTGGAGCCAGGATTCCACGTTTGTTCTCTTTGAGCATAGTTGTATTCTTAATTACTATTCTTTGATCTCTACTATGTTAGAATGAAGGGAAGGAGGGAATCTTACTTAAGACACTTTATCTTTCAAAAGTATAGAATAAAAATTTGAACACTAGAATTCAGAGCAATCCTGCTTACTCATAACAACTCATAATTTTATAAGCCATTAATCCAGCAGTTGCTTACCTCTTACCTAGTATAAACCCCAAGAGCATAAACAGAGATACCAGTAGATCAATCTCAGGACAGAGTCTTTTTCATAATTTTTTTCTTATTTTATTTTTTTGTAGCTATCTTGCCCACATCCAATCCAATGGCTTTTTTTTTTTTTTAGTGACTTGCCTATAGTAAGCCTTCCCAAACTCTTCAACTTAGCTTTCATAAAAGCAGTATTTATCTTTTATACTCATATTTCATCAACTTTCATAATAATTAAATTTCATAATTAAAATAATAAGTCAACTGCCATCGGCAGGTTTAGGAAGATATATCTGACTGGGTCAGCATGAAGTCCAGCTGTTGGGAGCATAAAATGTGTGTGGCACTAGAGATGGCCCACATATGCCAGTGGACATTCATCAGCATGGTGTTGGGGGAGCAGTGAGCAGTGGTTAATCCAGGAGGATGGTCCAGAGGAAGCCAGTCACAGAGAGCAGCTGCTCTAATAGCTGTACTTGGGCCACGTGACTTAGAAACTACCACTGGATCATTTGTCATAATATTGTCATATACCACAAATGATGACTGAATAATGCCCTACAAAGCAGAAATTAATTCCTTATAGTATAATTATGTTACAAGTTTATATATTGTCTGCACTTTTTCTTATAATATAAAATATAAAGAAATAAAATGCTCCCACAATTTTTATTATACAACTTTGAGTCACTGAAATTAATGCCCTAACCCATTCCCCCTGATCGGGACCTTAAATCAACTCCTCTTTTTGAAGGAGTACAGCAGTGTCAGATGGGCTTTACCCTCCAGTGCCACAGTGTAGCATTCCTGACCCAGCTGTCACCTCACTCTCTTCATCTCCAGTTTCCATTCTGCTGTTCAGAGCATTCCTGACTTCATTGTAGCTAAGTCTCAAGGGAAAAATTTATTACTAAGAACATTATAGCAACATTGTGTGTAAAACGTGATGATCATGTTCACCTGATGAAGCTGCAGTTCCTTTAATATAAGATTATTATTTTACAGATTTAAACTGTAGAGTAATCTGACTCCAACATATTAGCCAGATCTATTGCTGGAAAAGTACTGGACCAATAGAGGAAACTCGTGGTTTGGACTTACAAAAGTTAGCAATATGGCACTGATGGCCATTTTTGCTAGTGTGTGTGGTCATACCAAGACTCACACAGGATGAAACAATAATAGTAATAGAGCCAATGTTTATAATGTTATTACTTTGTGCTTTTTGTAGATCTCCTCACTTGATTCTCCTAGGACTCCAAAATGAACCTGTTCTTGTGAGCAAAGTTCAAGTGATGTGACCATACCATCCTTAGGGAGGCAAGGACTAAGCAATAGGATAGGATTCAAATTAACCTGGTCATCTTCCTTTGAAGATATACATATTTTTCTCTTCAGTTTTTATTCATCACTATAATTAAAGTATCAAGGACATTTGTAAGAAGAAAATACTAAGTTGGGAGTAATTCAGTGTTGTCTGTAGATAGCATGATTTGTTGAGGAGAGGACTCTTCCTTATTCTCTGTTGTCCCCACAGAGTCTGAGGCATGTTTTGAATCCCATTCAGAGGTTGTCTTCCCCTGGCAGGCAGGATCTTCTGGGCTGTGTTGGCAGTGGTGTTTGTTGTTCCATGGTCAGTGGTGTTGACAGGCCCATCTCTATACCATGTGGGGCATGGCTCACTAAGTCAAGTTATTGAAGATGTGGTAGGGAAGGGCCTCTGTCTGCTGCCCAGTGGATGGAAGAAACTGCTGTTACAGTTGAAGCTCATCTATGAATATTTTCCCACTCCTAAAAAAAGAGAAACTGATGCTTGCCCACTTAATTATTCTGATAACTCTAAGACACCAAATTCTGTTGTTCTTACTGTTCATTTCCCCCTATAACTCTATGTGGGGCAGTTTGCTGGGCCCTTGGATTACCAGTTTGAAGAGACTAGCTGGATTTCAGTTGCTACTATAAAGTTCAATTTTCTTTCTTTACCTCTCACCCTATTGTAACCAGCCAACTTTAACATACTTTATAAGAATATTTCATGTAATTTCCTGTATACTAAAGTGACAGTTTTGGTAATTTTGCTATCAAGAACCATCCTTCAAATTCCAGTCTGTTAAATGAGCAGCATTATGCAGCTGTTTTGTAAGTTCTAGTGAATTATTTTATAGTAACATCAGAACATCAGAAAGTAGAAGCAAAAAGAAAAATTGTCTAAATTGAGACCCCGAGAGCCACATTAGCTTCACAGTTCCTGGCTGAACCCTGTAATAGAGCAGTTGACAACTAAAACCACAGCACTGTACAGTAGTTGTTATGAAATAAACATTATGTTCCTAAAAGATTAAAAAAAGGACAAAAAAAAGGACAAAAAAAGATAAAGGTTTTTTTCTCAAGCATTCTTGTGCATATAAATACTTTATGGATGAGGGAGGAACATCTGCAGATACAGTACCCTGGATAATTAATTTTGTCATTTGATGATATAGGTGTGCTCTGTCAGGTTTCTTTGTGCTTATGCTAACAATTAGTCAGTGGCTTCGATTTCATTCTTGATGTGGAGTTAATTTTTTCATTGCTTCAAGTAGAGAAAAAAATGAAGAAACCTCTCAGATGTTGCTAAGGCTGACCTGAGCCCAGGTATAGCCAGCAAGGCTTTTCAAGTTAGAACACCTTCCTAAAGTAGGCAGATCTGGTACACCACTTGCCCAGTAGTCTGCCTGCTATTAAGGCAAGAGCCACGATTCCCATTTCAGATTCAGAAACTAAATTTTTGAGTGGCTAAGTCAGTAGCTTGACATTTAATAGCTAAGAAGTCTTATTTCCATTTTAGATAGGAGGAAGCAGAAGCTTAGAGAGGTTAAACCTTATAAATAGAGGAGGCAGTGCTTTATGAAAAAAAAGAAGGATGAAAACATTGGGGGACAAACTAAATACATTTTTAAAAAA